ATTAATTTGGCAGTGCAGATGCAGCCAATGACACTCCTTTTGTGGCATAATGGTAAATTTAAAGCGACTAGGACTCTGGATATACTTCTCTCCCGAGAGATTTGTGAGAATGAATGTCATCTCTCTGTCTTCATTTTCTCTGTGAATTATTAATATTTGGCCTCTAGGAAGCATCCCATATATCAGGGATCAGGGATATGTACATGCCTTCAGTTGTTGCTGGACTACAGCTCTCATCATGTTGGCTATGTAGCCAACATAGCAGGGAGAGAGTTGATAGGAATCAAAGTCCAATATCTGGAAGACTATGCTTTTCCCATCCCTGTCTGTCTTCTCCCATCATAATAAAGAAGTGTGTGCATTTTGATATGGAATTTTGAAGTTAACCATAGAAAATACTTGTCACATCTCCCAAAATACATGGAACTTTCATTTTTATTCGTGCTTTGCCCCCTTTTCCCCATTTTTTCTTAGCATATTTTTTGACAGGAGTTAATTGCAGAGTTGTGCACGAGTGCATGTTATTACATGGCTAGCTACACAGTAACTTCACTGGGAGCAATGGTAATTACAGAGTAAATTGTGTTAATGCCCCTGTGTTATTATTTGGTAACTGTGTAATTACATTGGGTGACCTGTGCAAATCAGATTCACATTCTCATTTTACCTCATCCAGAGAATAATGGCAAATACACATGAATCTTTGTAAAGTTCCATGAGTGTACATTTTCACAAAATCTTTAGGCATCCTCCCTGAATGGTAATTTCAAATAGCTAGTTGGCAAACAGCAAATAGCAAAGATTTTTTAAAGTTGTTTAGAATCTCTAAAATGCAAGAGCAAGCCAAAATTCTCCTCCAGTTCAAGAGGATATCAGAGTTGGAAGAGACCACAGGGCCATTATTATTAGATATTATAAATAAAAGATTATAAATAAGACATTGCAACATTATTTTATTATTTATTTAATTTTATAGCCTACCTTTCTCCCAAAAGGATTTTAAAAGCACAATGCAATTAAAAAACTGTTAATACAAATGTCAAAGCACAATGAAACTAAGGGCCTAAGCAG